GCACAATTTCTTCAACAGAGTGACATTATGATTGGGTATATCCAGCATCTGATGATCGATCAGTTCAGTTTACTCTATGTGTCTGATCAGGTGATGTTGACTTGCAAGAATGGAGGTCAGTGTTGAGAATAAGCGATGAACGATCAAAATTAGGTTGTAATATTGTTAGAATTGGAGATTTGTGTGAAGAGTACGTCATGGTTGAATGAATGTGATTTGAAGCATGACTGATGAAAATGTAATGATTCAATGGATTGTTCGCTAGACTGTACTACGAATGTACTTCATCTTGTATTGTGAACAGACATCAATTCATTATCAATACAAGTATGCAAAGATTTTGATTGTAGTGACCATAAAATAACTGTTGATGCACTTGCTATCTGTCCCATTTAAAACATCGCAAGCAAAATGCCAATCGATATACAGAGTAAAACCATGTTAACTGTAGCCTTTAAGACTCTGTCGTATTTATACAAATAACTCGCATGACATTCTAATTTGTATAAATCAAATTCAAAGTGAATGTTCTAGTGGCTAGCTGTTACATTATCACAATGTTTGTACTATGGCACGGTCAACTTGATTTGCTTAACTTTCGAAATATTATAAACAATTTAAGGAAAGCTGTGTCAACAAATTCACATTACCGTTGATTGCATTATTGACATGCCAAGTTCAATTTTCACTACTCACCATCCAGATTCGTTTGTCCGAAGTGTGCTTTTGTTTGTGGGTGCTTCAGTTAAACTTGATTATCATTAGATGCACTAGTCGACTTTCCGTTTGATCGACTGCGCAGTATGCCGATTGAGTTGTACTGTTCTGTTTTGATGTATGTGTAAGTGAGAGGAGGAGGGAATGAATCGGTAGTTCATTAGTCGAGAGTTTGTTGGTGATGGTAACGAGATGTTTGCAAATAAATATATAACACTTCAGATTTGTATTAGACATATTGCAACTGACACTACTACTACTACTACGACTACGACTACTACTACCAATACTACGACTACTGCGACTACTACAACTACCGTTACTGTAAAATTTCCGTCTATTGCGATAATAATATCGCTCTAATAATAGACCTATTAATAAAATGGTGGATTTGTCCTGATGTAACTGCTTAATCAATAAGATCTTAGGCGTAAGTCATATCATTGTCTATATTGACTCATCTTATCGTAACAATTACAAATATATGTGGAGAACTCATTAGGACTGCAGATAGAACAACATATTTAATATGAGTAAAAGATATAAGGTAACATTAAACAGGAAACACACCTGTGAAGAACAGTCATGCCATCCAACCAACTCGAATAAATTCAATTGCTTATGTCTGCCTTACTCATCGTTGCGGTATTCTCTGCAATTTATCTCGTGTTCAGCTTTGAGGAATGTGTGATGAGTACGTAATGGCAGTAAACTACAGCAAAACTACTACTACTACTACTACTACTACTTCTACTACCCTGTGTGAAAGAAAGGGAAGCCTAACGACTTGACAAACGCGGACCATGCATTTTAATACGGTTGTTTCTAGTTCTCTTCACAACTCACACCACTGACAAACAAGCGCATTTCAAATCGCTCCTCTTCAATGTGTTCAAAGGTGTACAATCATTTCGGAAAACTGCCACGAACTTGTCAATAACCAACACGATTTCAATAAACACACAATTTCACTTCGATTAACACATTCACCTTTCCTACATTTTCGATTATTGCGAAATTCACTATTTCAAATCGCCAACTCAAGGTATATGAAATGATTATGTATATAATCTGAAATACAAATTTACAGAATTCACACCAGTTCACAGGCATCATCGGTCTGATATTATAAATAGTAACATAAAATATAGAAAACAAACATGTGATTTAAGATTGTTTCAAGTTCACTTGTTCAAAAATTGTTTAGGTAGTACATTTATAAGATCTAGTATAGGAATGCACTGCATCAGCCGACAACTTTTGATTCTTTATAAGTGCACATTCTGTTGATTTATGAATGGTGCATTGAAGGTCATTTTGTGTGCCACAACAAATTCATTATAATCATTTACAACTAGAGAAAGTAAAACGGAAACAGAGAGCATGGAACAGCAAAGCAAGAATTACCAAAATATGTCAATCAGGTCAAACATAGTGCATTGGTCGTGTGACTCAATGATATGCTGTTCGTGTTAGATATAATTCAAACTAGTTAGGGTTGTGAGGGACACTGTTCACGTAAAGTAACACTTGGCAAGTGATCTTACTTAGTGAATTTAGTAGCAAGAATGTCTAGACATTTGAATCTCCTTTGTTCTCACTTGTGGAGTAAAATACACTTACACATGCGAGAACGCTTAATGCATTCTCAGAGAAGCAGTGTGCACCAATTCAGCGAGCAGAGGATGCGAGTTATTTCATCTTACGGATGGATCGTGGTAGATTATTCCAGAGTCTAAAACAATCACAGGTAAATTTATTCACTTTACTGTCAGTATCAGGAAACGTATTCAACAGGGTACATTCAGAGTACATTCAACACTTGACTGTTCAACAATAAATCAACTGATTGTGTGTAGTCTCTCAATTGTGGTTTTTGACCAGGAATGTGACAAAGAGGTCTTAATCCAGAAATTATCCGCCAGTCATACATGGACTCCAGCAATTGATTGAACGTTTCTAAACGTCAATACTAATCGTCAATATACATTTGATAAAACTTCATCTAGATAACGTCAGCTTCACGTTGAACCATCCATCACACACACAACTCCCTATCAATAACATCACTCTTTCGCGTGGCATATCTTATTTGACAATTCGAAATGAATTTCAATCCACACAAATACCAAGTATCATGACAAACAAAATAAAATTCTCCAAATGTGAACTCAACTACTGATTATTAGTAAGTAATATAATACCTGGAATAAGATTTGAAATGAGACGAAATACCTCGAAAATAAGACGATAGGCATTCTGAATGTGAACTCAACTACTGATTATCAGTATGTAATATAATAACTTCAATGATATATCAGATAAGACAAGACCAAGTTATATATTATTAAGCACAGTCAACTTTTGACTGTTCATCAATAAATCAACTGATTGTGTGTAATCTCTCACTTGTGGTTTTTGACCAGGAATGTGACAAAGAGGTCTTAATCCAGAAATTATCCGCCAGTCATACATGGACACCAGCAATTGATTGAAAGTTTCTAAACGTCAATACTCATCGTCAATATACATTTGATAAAACTTCATCTAGTGACCGATCAAAAGTATCACTCAAATAATCTGTGTCATATATTTACGTATACATATATAACTGCATGGATGGTGAGTAGATGTCACTGGTTAGTTATTCTTTACAACCTACAACATTTGTTCATAACCGTCTTGTTCCCATTAGTGACTAGATTCAAGATGGATTCCATGGGGTATTGGTGAGAATCCGTGACCAGTGGCGTTCAATGTGTGTCGAGTGTGAGATATTTTTCTACTTCAAACAATGGATGAATGGTTGCACAGGATGACGGATCGATCGACCAAAGTTAGAAATCAACACCGTTGAATAAAGATTCAGTGATCTATGAGTACGTTTTATCAACTTCCGCTGTCTCTTCCTCGTCTCTTCTTCAGATGGAACCTGGATCAAACTTGTGATGATCAAGAACTTAAGTAGGAGACAACAGATTGTACTTAAATACAAAACTACGGATTTCCTTATTATAATTTCAGTACCATACACTGAATACTTCATTTGTGAATTTCCATCACTTGTCCCCCACATTGTGAATGATTCTCCCAGTTCACTATTTCTTTCTATTTTCCCTTCTATTGTATTCAACTTGATCTTCTTGACCTTCCGACACGAGATTTCCCACTTCCGACTGGTGGCACATACTACTTATGTCTGTCAACCATAATCTAACTATTCTGCAATTAATCAGAAATCTAACTAAACTTGTCACACTACAAAGAGATGAACACAAACAGTCCTTTCTGTTCATCGGACTATATGGTTTGATGTGTACCTTTAAACTGATCAACACAATTTGAGGCAGCGTAAGGCGGGCATTTGTCTTGATTTGATTTGATTTGATTTAGTATAGTGACATTTACCTGATCTGTCAATATTCTGGAATATTTTTATATTCAACCAATAAATATTCACATTATTATTATTATTATTATTATTATTATTATGCAAATGTTTCTTATAGTTCCTCCAAACATATAACCCTTGTCATTATTCACAAACTGATGAAAGCACATTCAATGTTATGATACAAGCTTGGAATTGTTATCTTTATCTTGTAAGAAACAGACGAGAAACCGTCAAAATGGAAATGAATCCATGATTTTCTACATCGTCAGTTGTTCTTGGTTGAGTGAAATTGATAAACGGAAAGTATTGTAAGAAACTATAAACTTAATTGTCTATCAGATTCGGTTTTCATTTTCATTGATAATGAATAACATTAGAGGAAATTGGTTCAATTCATCACAAAACAATCATGGTCATTTATGAACTGACCTTTGAATTGAACCATTTTTCTTAAAATCCTTCAATGTGATTGGTTATTGTAATGATCCAATCATAATTCAGTTTACAAATGATGTTATGTGACAATGAAATACGGTAAATAATCACACTTGGGTGTTACAATACACTGAATACTTTTCATTTACTGATCACATGACATGTATTTACTAAACAAGCCAAACTCATATTTAGCCAACAACCTCAACAATGGCTTGGTTATTCCGACGAATCTAATTACTGTATGCATATGTATATACATACATATATATATATGTGTATATATGCAGAGACATATTTCGAATAGCTTGTTATTGTTTATTCACGCCCAGTCTTTTGTTTGTAACTACGTTCAATGTATCCATATGTAACCAATGCCAATTTCTGGATAAACATGCCTCAAACACATTCAGGATAGAAAGTAATAAATTCAGAATTCCAATAGTAGGATAACATGAGAACTGATTATAAGAATCATTCTAACAATAATGACAATAATAGTGAGGATCACATAAATGATAATGCAAACAAATACAATTGGTTCACTGTATCACTTCACAGGAATGTTGATCAATATTCAATGAACCATACAAATGATTCGATTGATAAACTAGGTAGACAGTTTACACAACTAGCTGAAGACTCAATGAAAACTCATGTAGATAATGAATTCACTAAACATGATCATATCAAACAATTGATTCTAAGTAGACAGTCAACAATGAACATTGATAACTCTCAGAATCCATTAAAAGCTGCCATATCATCAACCCATACACCATCTATGAATTCTATGGTGCCAGTAATAGATAAAAGACAGAAGAAGTCAATACATGCATTGAACAATACAAATCCAATAATAGATGAATGGAAGAGAAGAAAATCCCATCAAGGAAACTATCTCACTATGAATTGTAACAATGACAAACAATTAGATTTCATAAAATCAGTTAAGACAACATCTATGAATAGTGTATCGCCTACTAATAATGTGATCAAAGATGTCACAACAATCCACCGTTCATCATTACAAATATTGAATCATCTTTCTGAGCCAAATATCATTGAAGATGTAGAGCTGTTCAACAATTCATCACATTCATTAACATCAGTTTTACCAACATCTCATCTATTGTCAACTTCATTGAATTCTTTATCGAAATCAATAAGGAAAGAGGAGAATATTGACACATTCAATAGTGAAATGACCAGTGATTTATTCACTAGTATGATACATTCCAAGAATCAACCACAATCATTTCAATTGAAGAATCAAACTGAAAAGTTGGATGATGGTTTAAAACAGAATCATAATAATACTAATAATAATAATATCAGTAACAAGTATACATCAGTTGAGGATAGAATAACCGATTCCAAATCCAAAGGACTTGGTCTCTATTGTATATTGAATACAATTGGTTTAGGTAATTTTTCACAAGTGAAATTAGCTACTCATATTTTAACAAAAGGTAATTGAATACATTTTGCATTGAGTATTGATATCAACTTGTTAATATGCATAGATAAACACATTGTGACTGGATGTGTTCCGCTTAGAAGTTACCATATTAAGGTCCAACTACCATCGAAGGATACCTGTTTTTTAAACAGTTATCTGTTTTCTGTTTGTGATGTTTTCAGTTTTCAATGTTAGTGACATTTGGCTGAATGTTGTATATTTATCCTTGCAGATTGTTTCCTAGAGAAAATCCAGCTTCCCTTTGAAACTTTACACTGATATAGCTGAAAACACTTATCCGAATAGGGTTTCGAGAATCACACGCTACATACACTCGGGTTGTCAGCATCCGTAGTAAGATATGGACCAGCTACCTGGTAGATATACACAGGGTGGAGTATAGAACCTACAAAATCTCTTTGTCAAAGAATTTGAATGCTTGAAGAAAGGATCACAACGTTCGAAAACATTTAGTTGCTTCTACATTGCAATGTCCAGTTATTTTTAAGTCATAACTTACTTTTATTGTCAAATCCTTTTGCTCCTTCAATTATGAGAGCGACGTACCGTTTATAGTATATTGGTATCTACTGATGTGTACAATGTGGATTAACACTTATAAACTTACGTACGCCTGTTACACCTCATGAAGGAGGTAGGCCACTCACCGGCATTCTCTAACAAACTCTGTCTCAGGCGATCCTTTCAATTTATTTCCAGTTGCCATTTATTATTTTGATGTATGCTTCCGATTCCGCAATACATTCCTAGGTTTTCCAACTTTCCTATCCCTTCAGGACTCCAAATTATGGATTGACCCGTAATATAGTTTGATGATTTCCGTAATGTACAGCCAATCTACCTCCAACATATTTTCCTCATTTCCTCCTCAGCTCGAAGCTGCTTTGTTCTCTCTCACAGTAGGTTGTTTCTGTTGATTTCTAGCCAATGAATATTTTGTACCCTGAGTAGAAAAATATTTATAAATACTTGTATCATGTTGATGATGGTTGTTGTAGTGTTCCACAGTGTAGTCCGTCGCATGAATTTCGTATGATGTTGAAGACCTCCTCACCTACTCAATCCATAATGTCGAACACAGTTCCATAATGTTCTCCTATCCACGCTGACAGATACTTTCTCATAGTCAGGGATGTTGATGCATAGTGACTGTTTCTATGCAACCAATTGTTCAACGATAATCCGTAGTGTCACGATTTGGTCTGTGCATGAACCACTCTCATGGAATCTGGTCTGAAAATCTCGAAGCTGGACGTAACCTGAACCTTTCATCTGGTTCAACAACACTCCATTGACAACGTTTCCTGGTACTGACAGTAGTGTGATTCCTCTGTAGTTCTCTTTTTGCTCAAATGTCCTTCCCTCTGTATCATGATGAGGTAACCTTCTTGCCAGTCTGCCTATGACACTTGTTCTTCTTCACAAATATTCCTGAATAGAATGTGAACCAGTTATTTCTATTTCTGACCTCAGTGCTTCTGATGGTGTGCTGTTCGCTCCTCCTGTGGTGTTTGTATGTATTAATGAATCCGCAGTACCTGATGACTGCCTGATTTCGAATTCCAAATTCAATACATTAGTTTGAGCTCATCTAATACATCTTGGTTAAATTGTGTTATTTCTGGGATTCCTGGCTTATACCATAATTCAAACGCTTCTTATTATCACATCAACGTCACCATGTTGCCTGTGATGGAACAATTGAACATACATTCAGATTTTGATACTTTCGGAGATCACATGGAATGTTTCGAAATCTGGGTTATGACCAAGGAAAATGTTGATGATTTTATTGGTGTCACTTATTTGCTTACATTCATCAGAAAAGAAGGAGTTTGAATACAAGACAATTATCGATTTTAGACAATCGAAGAGGTTTACATAAAATCGCGAATTTATTGTCAGTTGTCTAAAGCTTAGACGTTCTTGTGTAGGATTAAATGTCTTGGGTTAAATTTCAGATTTCGAGGTCATGGATGTACACCTTGAACTAGATTGAGTTTTGTGAATGAATCAACGCTGCGAATAGTATTCTCTAGCCGATCATTGTTCACTAATAATCCTAAAGATACATTATCGCGTCTGGCCGACTCGATGTGCATTTACCAATTTACTTGCTCATGTGGAGCTAGGTATATAGGTAGTTCGATGAGCACTATATCTAAAAGAATTCAACACACATTATCCGGAATGGTTAAGAAGGGGAGGAAATGATTCAATAAGAAGTTCAATAATCAAACACCTTGTGAACACAGACGTCGCTCAATCAACACATATTCTACGTTCATAGTGATCTACAAGTTAAGTAGAAGTCTCCCAAAGACAATTAGATTGCATCTTCGTTGCATTGACGAAGCAATAGCTATACATTTGAGAAAATCAGAATTGTATATGCAAAATTGACTGGAAAAACGTCTTCTTCTACCATGATATTAATGTCTTACAATTTATTCTTGCAATCTTCATACTTTTCTTACTTTACAACCATCTGTTTCACCATCTATCTTCTAACACCAACTGGTTTATCTCTGCTTTCACCATACTCTATTCTACAATACTCTGTTTCTACTCATCATATCTAACAGAAGTTTATTATCGTCCAGCCTGAAATCCCTACGGGGGCTACTGCTGGTCCCAAACCCGGCTAAGGGAGGAGGGTTGAGCATCGGGTTAGCAACCCCATCCTGTAGAACACTAACTCGCTAAAATAAACGCTAACCAGAAAAAATATTCATTTGCGATTGTACAACATTGAAAATGAATCCGCTGAAATGAGAACTCTTCACTGAACAAATCTTCCTTACAATTGAATTTGTTGATGCTACTTATAACTAAATTGTATGACTGATTCTTTCTATTTCAATAGTTTATTCACACTCTTATTAACCTCATATAATGATGAATGGCCTATGTTCGAATATCTAGGGCATTAGTTCAGGTTAGTAAATGATAAACTAATGATCAGATGTTACTAGTTACGTTCATCCTGGACAATACTCTATGATCACGAATTGTGTATTGTAAGTTCAGTCCACTGCCTGTTAATTATTCTTATTCTTATGATGATGATGATGATGATCAATAAACATTCCTCATTTGATCTGGTCTGATTTATCCCTTAAACTCTGTTATTTCAATCGAACCGTATTTACTATAGTACTCAAATAAGGTCAGTTGTTAAACGTGACTTCTATAGCGAACTGTTGTAGATATACGTATAATGACATAAGAATTGTAACCTTTGACCTATAAAAGTTAATCAATAAATCAACAAAGATCCTTCATTCATTCATTGATTCATTGATGAAATTTAATTAAATCGATTATGATCACCAAGGGATCGATCGTTAAACAAACAAACAAAAATGTTTTCTCTTGGTTACACGACCAGCATTCATAATCTTATACTCTAAGCAGTTACACAAGATACTGTTGTATGATCATGCCAGTAGTACTAAGACAAAAGTATTCAAACTTATTTAACAATTGATTACCACCCAGTGATTATTCAATTCTGAATACATCTCGATCCTACAGGAGGTCAGTCGCGAACCAGATAGCTAAGTGACATGGGATCAAATCCATCAGGGAGTATCACATCGCTCAAGATTACATGTATACCTTGCTAATGAATACCAAATAGCACGAAAGCTGGGTTCAAGGTTTCCTGTTGACCACGTGTAACCACCATTTCATCTCAACATAGTGCACACAATGTCAACTCACCTAGACTAATAGTTACGTCGCAACTTAGTCAGTAGAATTCGATCTGCACTAAGAACGACTTGAAACACATGACATCAATTATAAATTAATTGTAATCTTATAGGCAGAACAATGGCAATTTACCTCACTAGTTGAAATCATGAGCCAGTTGAAGCTAGATCGCCATGGAAAACCTGGAAGCACTGGACAGCCGTTTCGTCTTACTATGGGACTCCACAGCAATGCGCAGCCACGATTCCGCACCCCCTCCGAGAGTTACGAACCCACAAACGTTCAGGCTATTTACCTGTTAAACATTTGAATGTTTCTCTACTGAACTACACATTCGAATCCTTAGCATTTTACTTTTATTTAGTCAATAGAACCACATTAATGAGTAAGGGATAGATCCGAAATAATGAGATAATAACTTTACGATATCTGCATTTGTGAAATGAACCACAGATTTAGAGAAAGAGTAATTCTGCAGATTTTCTAACTTGATTGAGAAAGGTTGATTTCATTTGAAGTATCACCTGTTCAGATTTATTATAATCCAAGTAATTTGGCCCCAAATGCCCTGGTACGACCGACAGTGGAGAGAGTCATTTCTCTCACTCTCTCTCCAAATGCTCTCACCAGGTCAAGTGCATACAACTACCGCCAGGAAATGTTTACTCACTGTCTTCTCACGGCATAACTACTGTGGTTCACAAAATTGAGAGGAGGAAATTCTAATGTTTGGCTCTTTAAGCACATTGATGGATACTCTGGGTCCAACAAATGAATTTGAGAAACCGCACGTCTAAATCAATAAAGCACATAGAATTTAGGATCCAGAAGGAGTAATAAACGTATGAACCAATCGTTGGTCACCGACTACCATGTGATAGCATCTCTTTACGTTGCTCAACTACCTTGTGGTTTAAACATCTAGATCGAAGTCTCCGACTGTGTCACCCTCCCAAAAAAACTACCTGTTTTGATCTGTTCACCCGGAAAATATCACAGTCCACATACAAATCATGTGATTTGTGTGACGCATATGTATTCGCTGCCCCTTTTTTACTCATATCTACGTATTCAAATACACAGATAAAATAAATGTTGATTTCAATAATTCGAATATAGAATGGTTCTTTTGTTTTCTATTCAATAACTCTTCATTGTTCATTATCATTAGATTGATCTATTGTGTGGGTTAGAAACAATCACTATGAATGATTTTATTGTTTCTTTTATGATGTAAATCAGAAAATGGGCACAAATAGTGGATTCCATAAT